TATTAATAATATTACATATATATTGCATTGCAATGTTGCTGCACAGTTGCGTTGTTATATTGCCGCAAGCGGACATTTTACCATTGTTGCAACGTTGCAGTAGCATTGCAGCAACATTTTGCAACATTGTTGCAATGTCACAATATTGCAAAACAATGATGCTGCAACGTTGCTGTGCTGTATGGGTAGTAGATATGGCTTTTGCAACAATTTTATTAAACGTTGCACGTCAAAAGTGTACGAGCACTGTTGTATGTTTAGTGAGCATCTTATTAATATTGTTTATGGTTACGGTTCTATTTATACATCAATTGTTTAATATATATATATAAAACAAAATGTTCTCAGAAAATTGGCTTGGTTATTATGTCGCTTTTTCTTTAATTTCGGTTGCTAAATAACTGTAGTACAGCGCTACTTCTGTTCATGGAACTCACTATCACTATCGCGCTATTGGCTTCACAAACACTCTTTGGTAGCGTTTGCATTGGTAGCGCGATAGCGAGCTCCGTGAACGCACACTATGAATATCGGCCATATTTTCACTACGTTTATGGCTCCTGCACACAGGATGCGGTAATGCTTGCCGCGCGGCGAAAGTCCGCGAGACAGCCGATCAATATGTTGTTTTTCCGTAAGAGCTAAAAGGTTATTACAGAAAGCAGTATATTGATTGGCTGTCGCGCGAACTTCCGCCGCGCGGCAAGCATTACTGCGTCCTGTATGTAGGAGCCATTAGGCTGCGTTCGGAAACGTCACTTGAGTACTCTCCCTCTTTTTATCTCACTCTTGTATTTCGCTCACTCCAACGGGTATCGTCTAGTAGTATGCACGCAGTGTGTGTTTCCGAACGCAGCATTAGTCATAAAATTCTTTTGTTGAAAATGAGCAGAGCAAATAACGTCCAATATCATCTATTTTTTTGTTACGACATTTTCTGATGCAATAAAATGCTAGCATTTTTGGTTAAACAGTAATTTAATGGCCACGCTGACTCACATTGTACATTGTAAGTATTCACACAAGTAACACGTCACACCTACAACGTCACACACAGCACCGTCGCCATTTTCTTGCATGCAACCGGAAACCTTAAGCGTCTTCTACAATGGCAGTAGGAGTAGTAGTAAGAAATAAGCAGTAAGCAAATTGACCAATTCCATTCTCACATTTCAAAAATAATCGATTGTGATTGGTCTATTTACTTACTGCTTATTTCTTACTACTACTCCTACTGCCATTGTAGAAGACGCTTTATGCGACCAGACCAGTAGGCCTATTCTCTAACTTCTTAACGACAATGTCACTAGCCTAGGGTATCGTTACGGAGATTTAACGACACTGTAACGAAAAATGGTATTCTGTAATTTTTCTTAACGATAAATATCGTTAAAAGTGTCGATAAAATATCGAATTTTGTTGTTAAGATATCGAGGGGTATGGGACCCCTCGATAAGCAATAATGATAATATAACTAGGTATAACGAGTAGCTCCAAGTAGTAGGAAAGTGTGGTTCTACGTTTGTACATCGGCTATACAGTTGCCGACTACTGGCTCTTTCTTTCCTTAATTTTTGTATCTTTTCAGATACCTTCTCACATAGCATAGATGTCCAAAATATATCATAGGGATATCCTAAAGATATATTTGGGATATATGATATTTTCAAGATATTCGTATGATGTATTTAGGACATTCTTGCTGTGTGAGTTTGATTTATGATCTTGCCATATCTACAAAAATATTAAAAAAACAATAAAAATGTATTAATATAG